AGGAATCATTCTTAAATTTAGGACTGAAATTTTTAATTCATTCTTTCAACTCAACATATACATAAATGGAAATTAAAAAATAAATGGAAATTACCCTGTTTATTTACCTTTGATGCTTTTGTAAAACTATAATTTTTTTTGCCGGTCTTTGTTTTTTTTTTCTTTCTTTTTTTTTCTTTTTTTTTCATAAATATAAAGAACATAATGTTTTGATAAAGAAAATTATTTAAAATTCAGTACTTTTTTTTTTTAACATATATTTATTACTTGATATTTAATTTATTACAATGCTTTTGTGATAAGTATAGGTTATTATTATTTAATATATAAGAAAAAACAGCAATGTAAAGTTATTATTATTATTTTTTTGTATGTCTATATAAACCTGGGATATAAATAGATTTAATGCATAAATAATTTCATATGAATATATTTAAGAAAATATTGTAAGTGAATGATAAAATATCAGTTTCATTTTTATGTAAATAGAAGAAACTTGAAAAATATTCGTACGATGTATAGTAATGTCTTGGCATTAAAACGGGATATTGTAAAATCACATTAGTGACATTGACGTGCATGTACATATTTAATTTAATTATTAAATAATAAAGTAATATTATTATATTATGTGATATTGTTTAGACACGATCAGATTATTCATTAATCCCTTACTTATAGTTTCGCTTGATAATGCGCTAAAAAATTGTTTCCACTGCCATTTACATAATTTAAAATTGTCGTAATAATTACTAGTATACGCCTGATTTTAAATACTGTTGATGATTATATTAGATATAAAAAATTATGTTGGTTGACAGCCAATTCGAAATTTTACTCAATTTCCTGCACTATTTCAACTTCCTATAATGCTTATACTATTGCTCGATTATTTTTAACTAATTTATCATTAGATTAATAATAAAATTTAAGTTAGTTAAAATGATTTTTCATTTTGAAATAAAACCATTAGATGCATATTTTTAAATATTTGAAATATAAATCAAACGAAGCTATTGT